CAAATCATTATATTTATGATGTTTGAAACATTAACTAATTAAAACGATGTTTTATGTTTTATTTAAATATAAAATTTTGTTTCATGAATAATATTATGTTATTATTAATCTTATTAAAAGTTGTTTTTGCTGCATTTAATACAATAACATACAGTAAGTTAAAGAAATTCCTACCATTTTATACTGAAAAAGACAACACTGAAAATTACACTATTTTTGATGATTTGTATGAAGCAAATGATTTAGCTAGATTAATTAAAAAAATTTATCTTCATAATAATTATTATCTGTTAGATGTCAGTGAATATACAGATAAAATCTTTGAGTATAATTATAATTGGGCTGATTTTTATGTTGTTAGAAGAGTACTTGATTATTATGATTTTACTTCTAACTATTCTTTGTATTATGAACGTGATAACTATGATTATGATAAGTTAGTTGATGTATTAAATCAAGTTAAAGATGGAATAAATGAAAGTAACATCGATAATTATAGAAAACTTTATGGAATTCTTATCAAAAAATTAAAAGAAAAACTTTTATTTATTAGAAATCATAAATCATATAGAAATTTATACTCAAATAAATTAACACAATGGTCATCAATTGCCTATTTATTTGATGATAAAGAAGATGATAAAGATTTTATTATTGAATATTTGGTGAAAGCAAAAGGGTTTAAAAGAAATAATTATAAAGATATTAATATGCTTTATAAAATTTTGTTTGATCCTATTAAGCCTTTTTTAAAAAATCTTAAAGAATTTTTAAATTCTGATAAATCTTTAAGTATATTAACAACGATAGAAGAAAAAAATTATTATAAAATTTTAGAGTTTATTGAAAATGTTATGAAAAAGTTCAAAGTGCTTTTAGGAGAGAAATTGAATTTATATACAGCTGATTATTATAACTTAAATGATAATTTAATTCAAAAACAGTTATTTAAAAAAGTAGATATTAAAAATAAGAATGATATTTTAAATACATTAAAAAACATCATTTATATTCTTAAAGACAATAATATTGAATTTTGGTTACATGATATATTTTTGAATGAAAATTGGTTAAATACAAATTTAAAAGGATTTTTTCAGAAGTTAAATGAATATTATTACAGGAGAAAAAAGAATTTTACTAATGTGAATGATGTATATAAATTAGCTAATTTTAATGATGATATTGATAATTTAGTACACGTATTTAAGACAGTTACATCATTTTTAATTTTAAACAATATTATATAAAATAAAAGATAATTTGATATTTCTTAACTTTTTATCTTAAAATATATCAGTTATATAATAAAATTAGTCTATTAAAACTAGATTTAATTAATTATAATTAAAAAAACTAATATTTTTTAAGTTAAAAACAGATTTTTCATATTTATAATCAATTAAAAAGGTTTATTTTTTTAATAATGAAATGAAACAAACATTTAATATTTACAAATTAAAATAAATAGAAAAATTAATTTTATCAATAAAGTTTTTAATTTGTTGTATTAAAACACTTTTTTATTTTTTAAATTAAATACTTTAAACTACTTATAATAATGTTTTTAGACATTTTTTTGATCGGCGCCGCAAAGATAAAACTAACTAGTTAAAATTGATAAGCGCCCTATAAAATTTTATTAAATAAAAACTTTTTATCAGTTCGAACATGTGGATACGCAAAATGTCATTATCTTAGATGGATTGAAAACATACCATGGTTTAAACTCTTATTTTTATGAACACAATGTTGTAAACTATAATGTGAATTTTATAGACTCAACAACTAGTTGTCATCCCCAGTTAATTAAGTGTGTATGGAGCCATGCGAAGCTCAAAATAAAGAAAAATAAAAGAAAGACCGTTAATTTTTTATAAACTCATTTAAACTTTTTTTAATTTTGTTACTGACATAAAGGATCGGTGTTTGAAGAATTTATAAAGTTCTTAGGGAAGAATTTATAATAATTTTTAATAAATTTTTTTGTTATAAAAATGTATGGGGTGCTAATTCAATTGACGGATTAAAATTAAAAAATAGGGCGATAAACAAAACGAAGCCGTTTTTGATATTTTAATTTTCTAAATTATTAAATAAAGTACGTTAAAACGCTATCAATTGATTATTTAACTATTTTAATTAGTTAATTAAAACAAATGATAATAAATAAAATTTCTTTGTAAATAATTAAGTAAGAATTACTAAAAATAATTTGAATAAAGACTTATTAAAATTACAAGCAACTTATATAGAACAAGATAACTAAAAGGTGGTTTTTAAAGAAATTTATTCGACTTAAATTTAAATAAATGATTATAGAGGAAAATTAAAAATATTTAATTAATTTAAAATATTACTAGGATAGAGTTAAAAGAGAACTTAAGAACTGATATAAATAGAAAATCATAAAATTGATTCAAATTTTCTTTTTAATTTCATCTGAAATTATGTTTTAGATGTGTTTCTGTTGTCATAAACATTTATATTATACATTTAAAAAATTTAATGATCAAATTATCAAAACAAAAAAAATTAATTAAATATAAAATCAATCAATTACTTGATAATGCAAATCATTTAATTCATTTATTTAGTATTTAGATTTAAATAAAACAACTAAAAACAAATTAAATTGTCATTAGTTGATAATGTATTTTATATAAAAATCTTTTTCTCTGAAAAATATTTATTTGTTACTTGTTTTAAAAACTTATTAAAGGTATAAGCAATGAAAAAAAAGACATATTATTAAAGATTTACAATGATAAGACTGAAATCTAGCATCAGAATGACAAGATAAATTTTTTAAAGAAATCTGATGTAAATAAATTAGTTTTGAATCCTCTACCAGTTTAAGAAATTAACATAGAAAATTTATAAATTAATAATAATTAAATTATCCAATTTTATAGTGGATTTACTTCTTTTTAAAATAAATTTATTTGATCTTATCAATCAAAATTGATTTTTTTTTATTAATTTTTAAATTTCTGATTATTTTTAACCCATGGAAATAACAAAAGTTGTAGGTCATTTTAAAAACTTTAGTAAAGAATTAATTGAGAAGGATAACCACTTTAGTGATAACTTAAAATATCTTTTAGTGTATTTATTGTGTATGGTTTTCTATGTAATAAAGGATAAATGTAATGAGTTTGGCGAAATAATTGATAATATCTTAATCAAAAAACTAAAAGATGGGCAAAGTTTAGAAGATGTAATCTTCTGTATATGCTTTATAGCATTTTCATTTAGTTGTTTTATTCCAAAATGTGATCTTGGTTTATTTTTTATTTCATTTATTTCACTATCAAAGTTAAATGATTTCTATGAAAAATATTTAAATCGAATTAACTTCTTAAAAGATAAAAATGTTAAAATAGTTTTAGCAGTAATTGGAGTTTTATTGATTTATTTCATGTTAAAATTCTTTAACAAAATGATAACGTACATCATTTGGATTGTAGCAAACATTGTTTTAGTAACTGGTTGTGTAATTTTGTGTTATGAACAGATAACTAAGGAAAGTCATGGAGATATCCTAAAAATTCTACTTTACATTTTATTGTTTTTAGGGCTATTTATTGTTGTGGAAAAATTTTTTAAAATTTTAGTTCAATCATTTGCATACATTGCTAATGCAATAATGTGTATTTGTGTATTGGGTTTTTTTTGTTCTAATTATTTAGAAATTGATTTTTTTACTTACGTGCTTATTTACTTAAATGATGGAATGGAATTAATTTTTAAAGATTTATTAAATAAAGGTGAAGGTGAAACTGTAATTGAAATTAAAGATTTGATTGAAAAGTTAGAAGAATTCTGTAAAGATGAAACATGTTTCAATTATCTTATGTATGTTTATTTACAAATATTTATTTGTTATGTAATTTACAATTTAATTGCCTGTATCTTTTTCAAAGGTTGTAGTGGTCAAAAAGAAAAGGAAGTACATCACTATTACGAATTACAGCAACCAAGAAAGACAGTAATATTATAATAGAAGATATTATTAAATTACTTAAATAATTTTATTTAAATATTCAATCTTGTCTTACGTTTAATAAACGAATAAGAGAATATATCTTTTAGAATATTACTATTTCCATTGATATTATCACTATCCTTTTCTAAGTTTATTCCTCTATCTTTATCACTCAAAATATACTTAAATAAAATGTAAAAGAAATCCGCATATAACAGAGTCTGTATTATAGAGGTTATTAATATGATACGAGGCACATAGTAATAACAACTTAAGTAACATATGAAGTAAATCAAATAAAGCAGTCTATACATTCCTAAAAATGCTATGTAATTAAAATGTAATATCTCACACTCTCCTGATTCTTGTATCATTACTAATTGTGGTAATATTGCAATACTTTCTAAGATCAGTGATGTTTTATAACAGAACGATTCAAATGAGAATCTAAAAAATGCATTCTCTTCAAGTATAAAACCTGCAATAAATGATATCACCATCAATATTGTTATTGGAAAGGTGTCTCTTATAAAGTAATAAGATCTTCTAAATCTTTTCCCTATAAAATAGACTAATATTACTTATGTAAGAACAAATGATGTTTTAAGCGTGTTATAATAAATTACTTTATAGCTGTGTTTTGGCCAACTTAACACGTGAATAAATCTCATCAAATAAACCATCAAATAAATCACATTGGTTTTTAGTGACAATCCGCTCACTGATTTTTTACTTAAAATCTTTCTTAATAAGATAATCTTTGATAATATTAATGACATCTCCCCAAGATTCTTTGCCAACGTTCCAATTCTTAATAAAAAA